CGGCCGAGAAACATCGGAATGGAAAATACCCGAGAGAAAGGGTGTGAGATGACGGCCGAGAAACATCGGATAAGCATATACCCGAGAGAAAGGGCGTGAGCATGGCCGAAATGAGGACGGCAAATGGCCGAGAAACACCGAAAGAGAAGACCCGAGAGAAAGGGCGGGAGCATGGCTGACAGGAGAATGAAAATGGCCGAGAAATACCGAAAAATAGAAAGCACCCGAGAGAAAGGGTATGAGCATGGATGAAATGAGAATTGAAAACGGCCGAGAAACATCGGAATGGAAAATACCCGAGAGAAAGGGTGTGAGAAGACGGCCGAGAAACATCGGAATAGAAAATACCCGAGAGAAAGGGCGTGAGCATGGCCGAAATGAGAACGGCAAACGGCCGAGAAACACCGAAAGAGAAGACCCGAGAGAAAGGGCGGGAGCATGGCTGACAGGAGAATGAAGATGGCCGAGAAATACCGAAAAATAGAAAGCACCCGAGAGAAAGGGTATGAGCATGGCTGAAATGAGAATCGAAAAATGGCCGAGAAACATCGGGAGAGAGCAGGACCGAAAAGAAAACACCTCGAGAGAGAGGGCGTGAGCATCGCTGAAATGGGTTGAGACACCTGAAAAGAAAGAAGAGCCGACAAGGAAAATACCCTTAGAGGAAAGGGTGTGAGCATGGCCGACAAGAGAATTGGAAAGGGACTGGGAAACAAAGTCAGGAACCAAAGAAGAAAATATTCCGAGAGAAAAGGGGGTATGATCATGGAAAATATGGGCGGGCTGAAAAAGAAATTTGAAAGGGCAGATAAAGGAATAAGCCGAGATAAGGCCAGTTATTATGGAAAGGATTCCCGACTGCGANGAAAGGGTGTGAGCATGGCCGACAAGAGAATTGGAAAGTGACTGGGAAACAAAGTCAGGAACCAAAGAAGAAAATATTCCGAGAGAAAAGGGGGTATGATCATGGAAAATATGGGCGGGCTGAAAAAGAAATTTGAAAGGGCAGATAAAGGAAAAAGCCGAGATGAGGCCAGTTATTATGGAAAGGATTCCCGACTGCGAGTCCCGAAATTACGCCTATTACGCACTTGGTTGGAAAAAACACACCAACGCGCTTTGTCGATCAGTACTCGCCTCATAGAGACCCGTTTGCGATGAAACCTTCGAGGCTGTATGCTAGATTACTGTGCTCTGCCAAAGCTCATAGCAGTGGGCTGTACAGCCTCGGTGGTTTGATAAGGGTCGTGTGAAGCAGGAAAGCCGAAAAAAGAAGCTGCAGAACATATATATATATGTACATATATTCTACAGGAGTATATATTTTATACTGGAGTATATATGAATATAAGCAGCGCAACAAGTTCCGCGCGAACGTATATATATATATATATAACAACATATTCGCCTGATTGAGAGCGAAGTATCTGATTGAGAGCG